CACAAACAAAAATAATCTCACAATCCCATGCTTTTAAATTTTTCTTCTTTCTATCAAGAAAATATAATCACTACTTTTTGTTAATGTTTAACTGTTCAAAAATGCAGGCTTTAGCTCTTTTTTTTTTTTTTTAATAGGAAATCCATTATTATGCCTCTGTTCATGAAATTCTCTAACTTGTGTCCATCAACAATGTGGCGACAATTTCAATTTTCCCAGATTTTTACTTTCTTTTGCATTTTGGTTTAATGATGAGAATATAGTCTATCTAGGCGAAGTACAGATTTTTTGAGATTTTTCTATTGAATTTTTAAAGATTTTGCTTCGAAACAAAGTTTGTGGATTAGGTAGACTGTTTCTAAGGGTGGGCCAACAAATATATATATTTTTCCTTTTGATGAAGGCATCATCCTCATAGTGAGAGTGTGTCACATTCTTATAGATATATATAGGTGTAGCAGCTGAATTATGATGTTTCCATATGATTTATAAGGTAGCTTAGCTTTTCAGTGTTTTATGCCGGAAATTAATGCATCTAAATAAACCTAAAAAATACTAGCTTTTTTTAGTGCAAGTGCTCGTACGAAAGAACAAAGATTCAATTTTTTTGTCAACCGAAATATTTTCTCAATCTAGTGAGGTACCATAAATTGGTTAAGTTTGTTTTCTGAAATGTTAGTAAGTTTTACTAGTTTTAGTAATGCAATCAATGTGCCGAAAAGTTGTTTGGTGAAGTAAGTTATATATCTATTGCACTTGAACCAAAGTTAAACCGAATTTTAAACCAGGACTTGAACAAACTTTTTAACCGGCTCCAATTGAGTCGATGTCATTAGCGTTTTACAAATCAAATATGTTTTTTTCAGTTGTCAAAATCAAAAACCTTTAACATTTTCTAAGACCACTCTTCCTCCATTCTTCATAGACTTCCTCTTTTTTTCATCATCACCCAAAACCGTACTACCAGTCTACTACTACCACCACCGGCCCTGCTTGGCATCTCTTCTAGGCCTAAACTTCTTGCTTCTGCTTGTCAAGCCCAACAACAACTGTTGGCCCACATTTCAGGCCCAAAGACTACACCGCACCCACGTACACTAATTAGGTTTGTAATTAATTGTTCACTAAACTAAGCCTCATACTTTTGGATAGATTACCCAATTTACAAAGATAAATTCTGAAAATATGATGCGAGAAAGTTGAACTAAAAATTATGCTTTTGAATTCAAAGCTTAGAGAATCAACAAGAAAAAAAAAAATCGAAATTATTAGAACTAAGGTGCAAATGGTTTGCTTAAGTGAAATAGGTGGTGGAAAAATGACGTTGTGAAAAAATTAATTTTTTTATTCACTAATTTCTCTCCTATTTTGTAGAAGAATTTTTTCTCCAATTTTGTTATATTTCAATTTGTATTAGTGAAATAAGTTGAATTATTTTTAAAAAGTTTTCAATCTAAATGGTAAACATTTAGAGGAATGTTCAATTACACCAATTTTTGTTTCATTCAAATGGTAAAAATCTAGAGAAATATATAATTCCATCCATTTTTATTATTCCAAATGAACAACCATTTGCACCCTAAATGCTTCAAACTCGCCTAACAAAGTATCAAAAGCATACTAATCCTTCGGAACTCAGGTAATGCTGACCAATTCAAAAACCTGACAATGAATCATTTCTTTAATATCATCTAATTAAGTTTGTATTAATAATTTTTTTTTTTTGAACAACTGTTTATATCTATAATTATTTTTTGCAATTTATCATAGCGTTGAAGTATTATTGAAGAAAACTCTAATCCAAAATCTGATGGTTTTTACTTTTTAAACCTTTTTTCTCTTTCCTGTCGTATCTGATGGGGGTTAAATAATAGATCGAATATAATCATCGTCCACAAAAGATTTACAACATTTGTTTTTTCTTAATTTTATTAATTTAATTGTAGAAAACTTAAATTGTAAAAGAACACGTGCGCTCAGCTTCCAAGACTTTTCTTACGACATATTAATATTCAAACATTTACCCGGCCCTCTTAATAATTTGTCCCTC